AAGACGAAATAAGGTAGTTGAAAGAAAAAAGTGAGACAGTGTCAAACAGAAGCCAACAATAAAGAAAAAGAAATTAAGGTTATTGATCTAGTTTTGAATACATGAAAGGAAAAAAAAAAAGTAAAAAGGAAAAAGAAAAAAAAAGAGAATAAAAAAGAAAATGAAAAAGATGAAATAGAGTATGATGAAGAAGGGGGAAGTTATACAACCAGCAATACATTTATGCCAAATTGGTATTAGTAATGGAAATTATCCAGAATTTGGTAAATAGCAAAGCACGAAGACGAATTAACACATTATTTGAATAATTATAATAATGTGATTATACTCGAAAAAGGCATTAGAGTAAAAGGAAGGATTAATTATTCATCATAGTATGTTTTATTAAAGAGTTTGCAAGCAAGACCACCAATGTCTTTAGATGTTGAGATACTGAACAAATTTATGGAGCGGGTCATTCAAATCAAGTATGAAATACCTAAGTTAATTAAGCAAGAAGTCTGCATCAAATTAAGAGAAGAATTTGCAGAATATCATATATGTGATATATGCTGCCCAAATCAGGATGAAGAGATCAAGCTCATTGAAGAATAAGGGAAGTAAGCACTTAGTCACATAACAATAATGCAATAAGTGGACACGACATACAATAATGTAATAGGTGGACACATCCACATGCAGAATCTTATCTTATCTTATCACAAATAAATTAGATGTGACATGTCGCTTCACAACGATCACTTATTGCAAACGCCTAAGACAGGGACATGTCCTGATCTACGCCTATTTAAGAGTCGAGACTTTGTCATCTTAGAACAGAGCTCAAATTTGAATGAAAAAATTTGAGTCTTGTAAGAGCACCCGCATCGCAGGTTTTTTTCTACCCGTTTAAATGGAAGGGGGGGCGTTAAAGGGATGTGGTGCGTTCATTAAACGCGGGCCCCCCTTTTGCCGTTCAAAGTCTTGAACGCCAATTATTTGTTTTATTTTTTTTGTTTGTTTTATTTTTGTTGTTTTAAATGTTATTTAATGTCAGTTTTCTATTATTTATCAAAATGATAAACTTCTCTTGCTTCTTTTATTTTTATATATATTTAATTCAATTATAACTATCTTGCATCATAAAATATAGTAACTACCCAATTGCTTAAAAAACGAATCACAATAATAGAAAAAAAAAAAATTCAAGATCGAGAATTTCAAAATTATATTCGTAGATATTCAGAGATACGAGATGACACAATGTATCATCAACTTCGTGCCGATTTAGTTGAGCATATTTGGACTCATTTTGCCAATTAAAAATAATATTTTTGTAATTGTACTATTTTTTTCTTGTGTAATCTTAATTTATGTTATTTTGGTCTTGTAGTATTTTTTTTTTTTATTTTCATGTATTTAAAATTTATTGTTATAACTTAAGGGTCAGTTTGGTTGGCATTATTGGGCTTGATATCAAGCATTTTGTTATTATTTCCATAAGATTAACATGTTTGGTTGGTTAATGAAAGCCCTTTATTTTGCTTGGGCCCGGTTTCATTACAAACAAATAGATGGACTACACATCCCATATCTCATGCGTGATAAACTATCCCAATATTAAGTTGCTTTTTTTTTACAAAAATGCCCTTACATAAATACTAAGATCTGCTCCCCGTCATTCACTTTTCCTCTCACGCAGCTTCACTAGGGTTTCTACGGTTCTTTGCTCGCGATCGCAAATCTCTGTTTTGGTAAGCATTTTTCTTCCTCTAAGCCACAATAAGGTTCATTGTTTTCTTGAATATAAGCTTTTGCGTTGTAATTTATTCTTTTTCTTCCTTATTTTGCTAGTGTTTTCGGTTGTTGCGGACATCACGGTCGTCGCATAGTTGGCGCTCGTCAGAAATCTTCACAACTGTGTAAAGGGTGCATTCGGATCTTGCTTAAGGTAACATTATGAAGTTATTCAGCTACATTGTTTTACATTTATTAATGGGAGATGGTTGAAATGAGGTAAAATCGCTTACTTATTTTTTTCCTTATAATTTTTGTCCGGTAATTATCTGTTGTAAGAAATGTTTTGGCTTTGTTGGCTCTGTTGGGAATTAAACTGAGCCATAGTTTACTTTATTGTTTGGTTTTATTGTTGCTTCTGTTGTGAATGTTTTCATAGATACAAATTTTGTACTATCTGAACCATGTGTTGAAATATATCAAAATCTCGTCTTGTTCAAAGAAGCATGGTTAATTTTTTCTTTTGTGTTTAGGTGCATTGCTCATTGCTGGTGTTTCTTTCATTGTTCCTAATAGCATATTTCCATTTCTGATTGTTGTTGACTAATGGCATACGTGTATTGAGGATGTTTGTTTCTTACATTGCAATAGCAATTTTGA